TCCGGTTCCTTCGACTAAAACCAATGCAATTTCTCCATAGGATTTTGTAAAATAGCTCGAAATAAGGTCTGTGGTTGACACAAATTGAAGAGACGGATCACGTTTTGTTCAGCCGGATAATATCCACATGTCTACCCTACTTTTATAATTTCCTAATCAACAGATTTATGATCGTTAGATTTATGATTCGAAAATTATAAAAGTAGGGTAGACATGTGGATATTATCCAGCTGAACAAAACGTGTTTTTTGTCGAAGGATCCGGAAAGAGTTTACTTCCGGGTTTTAGGACGCGTCACTGTGGCACTCTAGAGGAGTCTGCAGTTGAAGTGCACTGGGTTAAACAATGATGTGTTTATGTTATTAAGTCTACCTACGTTGACATAAATTGGGATGGCAAAAGACCTGCCTGTTCATGCAATACAAAAGAAAGTTCAGGAAATGTAAGTTCCCTGGGAATCACATCTAGGAATTAGGTTTGAGAGATTGGCACAAACTCCACCTGAAAAGGAAAATTGACACCAAGAATGTGAATGCATGTATTCAATCCATCTAATTACTGCCGTGCAGTAAGCAGCAGGTGTGGTTGACATAAAGTAGAGGGTACATCAGAGCAACATAGTGGGTCTTATTACAAGTATGTTTACGGTCTGATGCTGCTGTGAAGGTGAGATGCAGACAGAGCAGAGCGGAGCAGTGCAGTTGGTTTATCGTCAGAAGCTGTGACCCATTTCATGGAGCTGAATACTGAGCAGACTGGTTGACGTCAAACGCTCCAGCACGCTGCAGGCGACTAACAGCACTCAGAGCTCAACAGGAAGGGCGGGGTTGTGGAGTGTGAGAGTTTAACACAAAATGATTAGCATAATTGTAGCCTAAACATGTCATACCGCAAATACCCTTAAGCTAAAAGCTTGTTTGTGGAAATTACATGAGTGATATCGTTGTGAAGCATTAAGAGGACAACACCTAAAAGTCACAAATGTTACCAGGTCTTTTCTGTAAGCTTTGAGTATTGATATAGTTATGTGCCCTGGATTTACTCTTTTTACCCGTTTCTCACAGTTTTCATCACCCTAAAACGTTCTTCTTTCTCCTAGTATTCTTCCAAAAAACCTAAGCGTCTATTCTTGTGAAAAATTATATTTGACTGATTTAAGTGAGACTATGTAACTTTAACACATGAATAGTTCAATTTATATGCAATCAACACAATATCGCTCCATTAAATATACCAGTACAGATAAATATCTTACTTGGTGTGTTGTATAACCCTGAGTCTACGGTGGCTAATGTTATCAACATTTTCCATGTAGAACGGATGTGACTCATTTTACTGACTGAAGGACCCTTTTTTCTTATACTTTTCATCATCCTAAAACTGTCTTCTTCTTTGTCCTAGTATTCTTCAGGTTCCAAAAACCCAAGCGTCAATTCTTATGAAAAATTATATTTGACTCATTTAACTATGTAATTTTAACACATGAATTGTTCAATTTATATGCAATAGAACACAAACTTGCTCCATTAAATATACCAGATAAACCTTACTTGGTGTCTTGTGTGACCCTGAGTCTACGGTGGCTAATGTTAGAAACATTTTCCATGTAGAACGGATGTGACTCATTTTACTGACTGAAGGACTCTTCTCTCCTTGCTTCTTTTGCACTTTATTTAGCATTGACACATCATTGTCACATGGTGCCTGTTTCTTCTTCTGGGCGGTCTTAAGATGAAGGCTTGTAACGCTTGCTAGTACCTCATTCACACCAACAAATCGTTGTGTACAAACTGGATAAAACGCCGGCTTTTAGTTGTTGTTCAGGAGTTGATCCAACCGGCCCTGAAACACCGTTGGTGTGAATGAGGTATCGGAGAGGGCAACATCTAATTCAGGGTTGCCAACTCTCACGCATCTGGCGTGTGACACACGCTTTCACTCTCAATCTCACGCTCTCACGCTGCCCAAACTAATCTCACGCCAAAAACAAGAATACCGAAGACTAGAAACGGTTTTGAAAGCTTTTGTCACGTAGTGATCCTCTTCTCAATAGAACATCTTTGATAATGTCTTCTGGCCAATCAGAATCAAGATAACGGCGTGGTGTTGTTGCAGGAAGTCCCGACGGAGAATACTTTTGCTGTAGTACATCTCTATATACATCGATACAACATTACGTGTTCGTGTAGTAATAGATTTATTTATTTTCTTCTCAAGAGAGTACCAGAATGTGTATTTTATGTTAGTATTTCAAAAAATCTCCTGGGGGACAATCCCCCCAGACCCCCTGCAGGGGTTGGTTTTCAGCATGTCAACTCTTTCACCTGTGGGGAAATTGCAGGATTGGCTCCAGGTTGCCCTTTTTATTCACTACAAGACAAATGTGCCTTTTTATTTCATACAGTTCAATTTGGATTGAGACAGGGAAATAATCTAAACCTCACGCGTGGCGTTTCACTGTCAAGGGGGGCGATGTAGCGTGTACCGCAACTGCCGACCCGTATTGCGCATGCGTAGATCTAAGATCCAGTAGAAATGATAAAAAAGTTAAAGTCTGCTGCTTATTGTTCTACTAGGCCAAAATAGAGTCAAATAGTATATGAGAGTGAGAGTGTGTTAATTAATATATTTGGCAGTTTGGAGTAAGTCTGTAGATTTGTTTGTGTGTGTGTGTTTCATGTATAGGCCTCTCACGATAATTAATTTTGTTGTAAATTATTGCGATAAACGATAATATTGTCTGCACCGTTGTATGACCATTTTAGACCTCTGACATAATGGTAATATTTAATAATACTTCAAGTACATCCTTTCAAACTGCTAGTGACCCTTATTACAACTTTGAATCATCTTCCTACCAAAAACGACTTCTTAGTAGTTTTAGAATAAGAAACTCCTGCACGTGTGTTTATCTCTATGCTCTTCAAACTGGTTTGAATGGGGTAGGACTCGGTTAGAAAAGTTGATGTTGGATCAGAATTTTGCAACGTTAAAAAAAGATTTCACTGTCAATCCAATTGAAATAATCATCAAAGGACATCTACACATTCCTTAAGAAGCAGAGTGGATGTGTTTTTATTTATTTATTCAACTTTATAGAGGTTTTAAGTATTTTTCATTTCATTAAACCCGTGTGATTTCCACAATAGATTCTGTGTATTACAAAAGGTGTTTTTCCAACAGGTGTGTTTGATCTTGAGATTGTTTATACCATCTAAATAATTTAATTAAGCATGAAACACCTTGAGCAATGACAGCACTCTGTGGGTGGTTTCAGTCAAAAGAATAATAGTTAAGGTATAAATACCCATTACTGGTCTGGTGATTTGAGAATGTAGAACTTCATGGATTTTGTTTTTGAAAGAGGTTTTCTTTTTAACCACACACCTAAAACATGGACCATATTCCTGATATATACACAAAGGCTGCCTCATCTCCTTCTCTGATCCAGTGACACACTTTTGTTTTTTGTTATTTCTTCTCCTTCCTTTCCATCCCCTTCAATCTGTCAAATGCAATGGGGCTGTTTGAAGTAAAACATGAAGGCCACCCCCCGCTGCCTCTCTCCCTCTCCTCTGCAGCCACCCTGAGCCTGACCTTTCTTTGACTGACCGCTGCGGCTGCCTGGTTAAGCTCCATACAGACTGACCAGAGGTGGCCTTTAGGAAGCAGGGAGACATTATTCAACTGGAGGGAAAGACCCAGAGGTATCAGTTTAGAGTAGACTATGCCGAAACTATTAGCTGATTAATTGAAATAAGACTTGGGCTCATGCCTCGGATGTTTTCTGAAAAGCCCCGAATGTTTCACTTAAAGCCATTTAGTTTTTTTAAACGTCTCGTGAATAATGTGCAGTACCGGAGTCCAACAAAGAGGCAGCAGCCTGCGTACTGCGTACTGCGTAGCCTTCCCTGCCCTGAAGAAGAAGTGATCCTTCGTTAGCGTGAAGAGTGTGCTGTATGCGCTCCGCAGTAGCCCCGCTGCGAGGCTCCGGCGAGTTCATGAGCGTGCTCCACTAGCCCCCCCGGTCAACAACATCAAAATTCTGGGCTAAGCCCCGGATCGCCTACAATCCTAAATCCGCCTCTGGACGACATGCAAGCAAGGTCTGCAGGTCAGATTTGAACCTAAAACCATTGGTAACCCACTCCAAATGGCATTTAAAAAAGGTAACATGTGAATTTTTTTTTTTTAATCCACTTATATCACAAGTGTGGGTTCCTGTTTGTATGTGGTATCGACATGCAAATGTCAGCTGTGTCACACTTTACCACTGATCTACAGATGGCGGTGATGTGTTCCAATATGCAGGAATGCGTCAGCAAAAGCAAAAAATATGCCGTTTTTTTTGTTGTCAACATTTTCAGGTTTGAGTAAGGGAATGCATTCATCACATTCATGAGATTCAATGATATACACAATTAATTTAGTGAGTAACATAACTTTTGTTTGTTTACCCAGAGGGCACCTTTAGGATCTGAAATAATCAACACATTAATAAATGATGAGGATAACAATCGGATGCAGATTACAAAGGCTGAATGGATGGCTGATCTTAAATGACACCATTGTTACTGATGCAGAAAGAACTTTGAGGTGAAGACTGTCTTTCACATGTACTGTACATATCTTAACTTCATGTACCTTTAACCAAAACATGTCTGAGCGTGTTGTGGGTAAGTGAAGCACAGAATGTACCTTGCTGCTGATGTCCTAAACAGAGATGTTTTCTATAATCACAAGCCAGGTAATGTTCTGTTCATTGTATTCCTGCTTCAAACCTAATTTGCAGTGCAGGACAATCGGCTGTGAGTCAGACATGTTTAGGGAAATTACTTCTGGGGTAATAACTTATCATCTTGGACCCTTCTTAGAAACATTTAACAGGATGATGCAAGTTGAATGCAGTTGAAACGCTCGGTCCTACGTCAGTTATTGTTAGGTTCTGTGTAATTTTTTCCACATTTCATTTAACCTGAAAGAACAAATCAAAGACAATGAAAACTGGCCATCACGCGTATGAAGGTTAACCAGGATGCTCTTCTGTCATTTTTCCTGACTTTATTTTACTTTCTCAGAATCAGAATACCTTTATTCATCCCACAGAGGGGAAATGTACATTTGTTCCAGCAGAAAAAGAGCCAAAGACAGCTTAATGTTTAACAAGAAGTATGCATACAAAACAGAAAAAAACATTACAGATAAGATATATATTAAAAACAAGATTCTAAAGTCCATGACACAGAGTCCTTTGAAGACAAGATACTGTTTTTCCTGTAACACACCTTCATGCTAAGTTTCTCTGGTATATTTGTATTTTTAGCAGTCCACATGTGATTTGCTCACCTTTTAGTATCAGTTTCTAAAAGCCTAAGATAAACTTCAGCCCCTTTAGATTGTTGTCAGAGCTGCCTCCCTGCTATGCAGCACTCCTTATCATTCTCCCTTCATCTTTTAACCCCCTACTCTGTCACTGAAGTAGCCAATCCAATTTATCACCTTTTCTAGCCCTCCAATTAAACCCAAACTCTTCGCTCCACCCACTTATATTCCCTCAGTCTCCCTGTCATCCTCCCTCACTCTCGAAAACAGAGGTAGGGTGCCATTCTCACTAGCTATCTCTAAATGCCAATTGCTTAATAATCACACTTGGAAGCTTGTACTACAGACCTCAGGCTAAGTCTCAGAATGTATCTATCTATAATGCGTCTTCCTCAAAAAAAAAAAGAGGGGTACAATGGGAAATTATGTTTGATCTCCTCTGATCAAAACTATGGAAAATGTTCTACGAGACTTTGGATTGTTGCAGAGATTTCAAGATCTGGCATCGTTCAGCTAGGAGATATCTCGCAAGCAACCTCGGACCACTTCTCAACACTTTGCAAATGGCCTGGGCAGGTAGTTAAGACATTTCCGAGCTGCGCCGCCACTGAGATCATGGCAGGCAATGGATCAAAACTAAATTATTCCACCCTGAATATCTCATCCATCAATGAGTTAATAGGTTTTCTGCACCACGTTGTTACATTACCTGCTATCTTGATGTTCATATGGCCGTCCAGCAGCAGATTTTCAGCCTTCAGGTCCCTGTGGACGATGTTGCGGTTGTGACAATACTCCACCGCCGACAGGATCTGCCAGAACTTCCTCCTGGCCTCTAGCTCACTGAGACGGCCATGCTTTGCCAGGTAGTCTACAGACAGAGAGAGAGAGGGGAAACAAAGACAGTTGAGAAAGGTCATGTGTCATGTTCGAAGTAAATGCAGAGAATATTATACATTCACTTATATAACATGACTCTTCAGGTCTTTCAAACACAGTATAAGGTGTCCCCCTACTGTATGTTAAATCAATTAAACATTCTTTTTAACCGTCCAAAAGGGTTATTGCTTGTGTTGAAACTATAATTTACTCTTGATGAGGTGCAGGCCTGGTGTCAATAGTTTACAGCTGTTCTAGAATTACAGCATGCGTTGTAAACGGATTCAGGTCAAGATATACAATGCTATTTTTCTTTTGAAAGTAAACTCTGTTCTTACCCTCTGTGAGTGTGTGTCTTTAAGTGAGTGTGCGTGTGGAGAGAGAGAGAGCAGGCAGTGGTTGACAGTGGAGAAACTGTGTTGCCATAGCCGGAAGAGGAGAGGGGACGACGAGCTTTCTGAGAACTGGAGTTCTGTTACATTATGTCTACACTAGTACAAGTTGGAGCAGGGTGTGAGTCGGGGGTTAGTGGGAGGTATATGAGAGCAGTGCACATATACAAACTTGACATTAATTGGGAGAAATCAAGACCCAAGTGTAAATATGAACCTGGGTTTTTACCCAACGGGAAACCATAACATCTGATTTATCGGTTATGGACTGAGCACAAGCTGTGCGAGTGAGTTTGTGGTTGTGGAGAAAGAAGCATATGCATTTTTCGCGGGGCTAAAGTCATAAATTGCACTGTCTCCAGATCAATGACCTTTTCTCTTTGTTGGCTCCAACATCCCCTTCACTGTTTTTCTAACCTTTCACACACACCCAATGTTCACTAATTTTCACATAGTGGGCTGACAGACTATTCAGGATGCATGTTGTTTTTCAACCCTGTGAACTGGAAAAGTGTTTGTTGCCGTCGCCAGGGTTCCTCTTCACACCTCTCTGTCCAGATAGCTTGCTAACTCTTCATTTCACACTCTGTGGAAAACTAGATAGGACACTCTGTGTTGGCTTTCCTACAGCTGGCATGGATACAGACGACCGACTTAACCTGATGACAATACACCAAGACCACAACAAACCTGTTAGACAACAACAAAACTTACATATAAGGAACGCAATTATCTGAAGACCCTTAAGGTCATTTCAATAAAAGAAAATGTTCTGTCTCAAAGGAGACAGGGACATTTGGCTTAGTTTGCTTAAGATAAATAATTAAAATATATATATTTATTACTTTTTTTACAGAAGTAATATTGTTATGATTCTCCCGGTGTGCACACATTTACTTAAAGAAAATATCTCTTACAGCCTTTCAAACTAGGTTTCTTTCAAGATGCACAGAACAGTCACACTAAGCCAATTTCACAACCCAACAAAGCACATAAAACCTATTTAAAGTACAGCAGCTTATATCTTGAGGAGAGCGACATAAATCACATGGTAAACACTTCATCTCAACAACTCTGGTTCGTCTCAACTAACTAGGAGTTGACTGAAGGGTCAGCTTTGTGTTGAAACAAAGACTGTTCCATAAAAATGGCCATTAACGCCATGAAGTTTCAGGGATATCTTGCTGCTGTGGTTGATAAATAGCTAACACCTGACCAAGTAAGAAAACCTGATTAGATAGTGGCTGGCAAATTCCACAGAAGAGGCCGTTCAGTGACCAGGGCAGCTTTCATGTAACGCTGCTAATCAAAAAACACACTGGGGAGGGGAATGTGTCAAAGACATCCAAGTATGCACCTGGCAGGAGAAAATGACTTTAAAATAATAACCGTTCTGGGATCAAACCTCTCAGGTGTCAGTATGATTTAACTGAAGAGCTTGTTGGAGGGGCATACAGCAAAAAGTAGTACAAAAGACAAACTTTAGATTCAAGCATATCCCCACCAGGTTGGCCACATCTGACAAAAAATATAATCACATTTGCATTAGCAGTTATTTTCTTACGCCCTACATGACTCAATATTGCACGGAATAATCAATCATTAAAATTGTTGGCGAATAATTTAAGTCAATTGACTATTTGATTGATCAACTACTTATCTCATGTCTAAACAGAATCCCATTTGGGGAGACACACACACACACACGCCCCCCCCCCCCAGTGGAGGGATGAGTAATCCACTGATACAATGTTGGCGAGGGCAAGGGCCTAAGAACAGAGAGGGATGCAGAGGGGCATTCTGGGAAAGCGAGCAGAACAAGAACGAATCATAGGGGTATTAGGGAAGAGCTTAACAACGGCTGTGTTCTGCTTCTGCTGAGAGCGTGGTGCGGACCGAAGTCTCCCAACAGCTGCTCAGGTTTGGAGGGGACAAACATCATGAGTGAAAACTGGCTTGATGGCGAGACCTCTGGCTTGTGGGAGTGTGTGTGTACAGGGAGAGTGTGTGTGTATGTGAAAGGGACAAGGGGCAAACACACACTCTGTTCCCACATCAGTAACAGACACCCAAACCACTTAAATACAGCAGACACTTTAATGTCACATCGATGTGCGTGTTGATAGACGTTGGTGTGGATTTAACACTGACACCCTCAGGCAGTAAATTGGGCTGGAGCCAGCGGGAGAGGAACACTGCCCTTTCATCCAAGTTATACCCCTTCAAAGATCAGCTGCAGCTACTGGTTATGACAGGCCACTTCTCTTACATAAGGACTCAGTCAAAGCGTATTCAGATATAAAAAATAAATCCTGAAAAACAAAGCTGCTAACTTACTCCTGCATGTTTGAGCCACTTATAAAAGACCATTTCCATTTAACTTTTGGGTTATATTCCCCAGCATCTAGTCAGTGCAAGGTTGAGCAGTTACTACTGTTATTACTGCGGCAATATTGTATTGCCGCATCACTTTGTGAGTGCTACAGAAAGGTCTGGATCCACATGGTATCACTCTGGTATAGCGAAAAAACCCACTATGGCTTGTTTATGCTTGTTTAGATCAATCACAATTGTGTTGTGGCACTAAGCACAGCGATGGTGCCCTGTCAAATAGATAGCTGAGATATTGGAAGGGGAGGAGAATTCCTCTTGGAAAGGGTTGAATGTCAGTTTCCATGACCAACTTCCGAATATCTATATGGTTCGTGAAGATACTCTATCAAGGTATGTTATAATCCCATTATCACATTTATTTTTAGTGTGTTAATACAACAGTGATTAAAGTGACAGCAGGAGATTACACCCCCAACCTCAAAGTACTATGACTTTAGCACTACAGCAAACACCACTTAATGAATACACTAAATTAAGTTCTGACACTTGAAATGGTTCGGCATACCAGCTTACGTAACATATAGCAGAGCACATTACACGCTTACCTTTAATGGATGATTAAAGCCTACACAACTGATTAAGGAATATAATTAAGAATTAAATGGCAAGCTACGATAAAATTGGAGGACTTTACCATTCAGTTTAGCTAATACTGTAGGACTGATGCTTTGTGCAGGTGCAGATAGGAAAAAAAACACCACATTATTTAAACGTGTTTTATGTTTTACTAAACCACCACTACACTGTTTCCAAATATCTGCCATCACTGGAGAAGATGAACACAAATGACCTCAGCTCAAACTTAGACAAATATGTCAGGTTTATTCTCGCGTAACATTTTCCTTTTTGCAATTAATCTTTCATCACGTCGATACCTGAAAGCTGCCATGTAAGATGCAGCATGCAGGGCCGGCCCTTGGCATAGGCAGTATAGGCGAATGCTAAGGGCGCATCAACCCATGGGAGGCGCCAAATATTGGGGGAAAGAAAACATTTTTTACTTAAACTTCATAACAAAACAACTTCCCGATTTTGGATCAACAAAGTACATCTTATTATCTTATGCTAACAGAACTACGCCTATCTTGCGTACAGCGCCCATAAACTATGGCGCACCCCCCCCCAAATCAGGTAAGTTGAACTGCCAGAGGTTTATGTGAAATAGTTCTTTTTTTGAAATAATGGTTTTAGTGTGCAATTATAGGTTTTAATTTTGTATTTGTGTTACTTTAAAATAAATCAAACTCCCAAAAAACATGTGTGTTTTTATTAACATTGGAATTTACTGTGATGCAAGCGGCCGCGGTCGGTGGGAGGGGCAAATTGGTCAGGGCTGCATGCAACATTTTTTTTAATTAATAGGGAGTTAGTCTATTATTTTCAAGCATCAACAACTCATTATAGTATCAACTTCATGACTTAGAATTAAGTTTGTCATGGATACAATTATCCCGGTCATCAAAGTCAATGCGACCACACCCTGCTGACTAAAAGATGGGCAGGAAACTTACCCAATCAATATGCAGGACGGTTTATGGTGAAATAGTATAGACAGCCTAAGTAAATAAGAATGTGTCTCAAAAATCAGCCTGAGTATATCTTTGAAGTCAACAGTGTCCCCGTCTCATTTCCTTTCCATCAATTAGACAAGATATCTGTATGAGTGGTTTTTCTCACTGCCAGCTAAAACACTACCCTCTTTCCAGCAGTGCTTTCTTAAATATGCATGCCCTATATTTCCCCACCACCTTCAAATTCAAATGGATGTCCCCTGCTCTTGCCTCTATTCTCTTCTGCCTCCTCTCCCCTCCTGCCTCCGCTCTCCTCTCTGCAGTTTTGCTGTATTTGTGGTTGACCCAATTTCCAGGTTTGATCCATACTGCGGTGTTGAAGCAGACTGTGGAGCAGCATACTGACTGACTGACAGGCAGACACAAAGGCACATCACCAAACTGGCAGGGATGCCTCTGCTGTGCCCATAACTGTGCCCACCCATCCCTTTGTGAGCATGAACTCATCACTCTCTGCCTCCTTCTGCCAAACCCAGCTCCGCTTCTTTGTCTTTAGGGCTCCAGACGCACACAAACACAGACACACAACCCCCTCACGCTCCACCACAAGACTATTTACTGTTTGGTCTGAATCGGCTCATCCATTGTCTCACTATTTCACTGTTTCACTGTAACAGGGTGGGCTGCTGAGCATCCTCAACAACTAGCATCTTGCTCTCTTTTCGTAACCTATGGCCAGGGACAGACCTTAGAAAATTCATCATGTCAGAAAAGCGGAGGCAGCTCTCTCGGGGGTGATTGTGGAGGAAGAGGCTGGTGAGCTTGCTTGGCAGCTTATCCATTTGTCTGGGTGCATCATGACTGAAAGACTTGATCCATCTCCAGAAGACGTATTTGGAAATCAGAAATGATTGTTCAATTTTGTGAGATTTGATAGTGTAACACTAGTCTAGTGCTGCAGCTACCAGTCGCTGTCTGACTGGCTTAGCCAAAGCTGCTACTGCTGCAGCTGGTGATGACATATAAATGTCTTGCATAACTACATTACATTGTGCAATCAGAGCAGAGGGGTCTGAGGAATCAGGACACAATGGTTTTATAATACTGTGAGATGATCCAGGAGATAATCTATGGAAGGAAGATTAGGTTAACCAACCAAGATTGGTTATTTATTGGAATAGTTTGACATTTCTGGAAATACGCTCAGTCGGTTTCTTGACCAGAGTTAAAGAGACGGTGTTAGCTTAGCTTAGCAAGAAGAGTGGAAACAATGGGAAACGCATACATAGATCTGTGCGGGAAAAAAATGATCTCACAAAGTGGTATCTTAGTAGAATATTTCATTTGTCAAATCTCTCCTGAAACGAAATATATAAACAATGGTTGATATTATTTTTCCTGTGCGCAGAAAAAAGACTAGCTGTCCTTGCTGCCCCTTGATTCCAGTCTTCATGCTTAAATAAGACACATTTTCCCGTATGTAGCTCTATATTTAACAGACAGGAAATACAAAATAAAAAAGCATTTTGCCTATATTGCAAAACCTTTCCTTTAAGAGTGTACTACAGTATACAGTTCGAGGCTAGCAGAAGCTTCTGCTTGGTCCAACCACAATTAGTTGCAGAAGTTGTCACATATATACAGATACAGATGACTATTTCTGTTTTATCTCTGCAGATTTCTGTACTTCCTTTTTATTTTCAACCACACTCTCATTAATTTGTACTTGTGTCGTCCTCACAGCTCTCTCTGGGTCACAGGAGCAGGAGTTACTGCTGCTGAGTCAACATCACAAGTGGAACACTGGCCTCAGAGTTACAAAGACACGCACAGTCACACGTAGACTATTAGGTTCACCGTAGACTATCGCTGGAGTAATCCTCTGGACATCTGCGTCTGGAAGTAGGCTAGGTGCAAACATTCTCAGACTGTCTAATAGGTGAGACCAAAGTGAATGATGAATCCACAGGATTGCAGGTTGTCCACATCAGACAGGTCTATACTTGTGTTATTAATGCTTGAAATATTTGAATGTATGATTAGTTCATATCTGCATGTTCACAAAATAAAGGATTGAAGGGTTTTTATTAGCTTTAATAAAAGACAATTATGCGATTTTAAAATAAAAAAATAATACCTTTGCAATTAAAACACTTTTTTGGGGAGCTTATGTCCAGTTTACTTGAGATTGCAGTATGTACACATTTTAAACGTTGAGTTTGAGTGTGTGTGTAGTAGCGATAGGTACAGGAAATATGTTGCAGTAGATGATCATTTCCTATCTTTATGTAATATTTTTTATAAAGGTCTGTTTTACTCTTACGCATTGTAAACCACTTCTACAGTGAAAACAAATTATTGTTATTGTCCACATGGAATCTTGTATCGTGTTTTATGAACGTCTCTGTTAAAAACCTGGTAAATGACTGACTGGAAATTATTTTCTTTACTTAAAGAATCACTTCCATCTGTCCCAAAGGTCCAAAATGAAATAGGCAAGGTGTTTTTTCTTCTCTGTAATCTGCTTCTGCCAAAATGACAACATCTGGTCCTTTTTAGTCATTTTAAAAATCATTATGAAAGTCCTTCAGGCAGCCAAGATGAATCATAGAAGATTTATTTATGTGACATCTATTTGGCTCCTGTCAAGACTACTGACGTTGAGCCGTTCTCTGTTCATAATGTGAAACAGGTTACCGTTTAAAGATGTGATTGCATTTTGGAAAAGAACAAATATATATATAAATAACAAAAATGTTTCGCAAACATTACAAATAATTAATATAACATTAAGCAATGTATTTCATGGTTCCAGCTTTTCAATTGTGAGGATGTTTTCCTTCTGTTATAGTAAAAACACATTTTCACTATCTTATATAAATATTGGTTGATTAACCAAGAAAGATCAAATCACTTAATTTTGAAAATGACTAATACATTTGCTGCAGTCCTACATTTTAATACAAATAAATAAATAAAGGTTAGCTACACCAGACAGTCACATTACCTGAGAGTTGGGGTCCACAGATATGGAGTGCGATCAAAAAATGTTATAAAGAGTTTGCTATTGTCAAAAAATCTTTAAATAAGGTGTTTAATTTATCCGGAAAATTTGATATTAATAGTTGTAATGCAATAATCAGGTTTTGGTACAGCACTGTTTATATAATGCCTCATGTTTCCTTTACTTTGTTAACTTAATTTTGTAAAATTATTTAAAATGTTCCTACACTTCCCTAGGTGTATTACTGTTGTTATCAGTTATGCTGTTTGTATAGTGCAAATAGAAGTAAAGTAAACTGAACAAATAGCTGTACCTGTCCAATTCAATAGAGGTTTCTAATTTCTCTAATTTCCCTTCCTCGACTCCTCGAATCCTCCGGTAGTGACCCGGAAATGGATTTCAGCGCGCCATGTTGAAAGACATCTAATTTCTCTAAATGCACATCGAGGATCGAGCATCGAGGAGGCTCTCTGGAGGAGCTATAATCGAGGATACAATGATGGTTCCTCCACGGCTCCTCCGCGGATGTATTTCCAGCAACAGTGATGTTTAAAAGAGTCGTAACGCACGGCCTGACTTATCTCAGCCAATGACAGCTCTGCATGCATCCCCTGGACATCCAGTCTTTGATAGTGTTACATTATTATGAGAGTGCTCTCATACTTTTTTGATTCTGAAATTGTAGCCTATATATTTATATAAATATATGTGTGTTTTATATGTCCGCATCTGTAGCCTGTTATTGTCTCATTATGCCACACTGTGAATTAATTAAAGTAAATATATAAGTCGTCATGAACACAGTTCTGTCCATCAGAGAGTGCTGCTGTGCCTCCTGTCATCATTAACGGACGTCTCTTTAAAATGACTGCTCAGAGGACAGGATTTCTCATTTCTTTACACGCCTGCTGCTTCCACTCCTCTCTCCTCCTGTGGGCGGGACTAAGACACGAGGATAGGAGTCGAGGAGGGGAATTAGAGAAATTAGAAACCTTCAATGTCACGTGTGTTTCAAAATGGAGGCTCAAAATATGGGCCTTTTTCATTTTATTTGGGCTGATCGGCTCTTAAAAAATTATTACGTTTTAGGTTGAAAGACAGAAAAATTGTTTAACAGTATATATTCAACATATAATCAAACTCCCATGTCAGTGAAAGTGGAGAAATGACGTAATTGGCCAGCATGTTAAAAGTAATCTTACACAATCTGAGTAGTACAGTAAAGCAATGAACAGAAAGGGCTTCTACACCACATATGGTAATAAACAAAACCTTTTCTCTTTGAGGCTGCCTCTCTGTGGCCTTCTCAGTGAGATCTTTATATGACAAGTAAGCGGTGTCAGCACATTTAGCACAGCAATCATGAGCAGCACCTGACAAGGGCCACATCAGGATTATGCCGTCAATCATATGACCTTTGAGATTGGGTGTGTAAGACATTGTTACTTCCTTGTTTGTCCAAAAAATTACTGACACAACAGTTCAGATTTTGCGCAACCGAGATAGGGAAAATGTGCATGAACTGGGTGGGGGCAATATTTTTAAAAACTGCGGAAATACTGATCTTGTGTTTAAGAAATAATATAAAATCACTCACCAAAGATCTCCCCATTCTTGGCATACTCCGTGACCAAGTATAGCATGTTCTTCGTCTCCATCACCTGAGATAAGGAGAGGACGAAGGAACAGGTGCAGAGAGAGGGGAGAAAAGAGAGGGAGAGTGAATCCAAACAGCAGACACATTTTCAATAGCTATCTCACTAGATAATTTTAAATCTGCTGCATCAAGAGATAATTAGAGTAAGGGAAAAAGGAACCAAACAAACAAATAACCCAAGGAACCAAACAAACAAATAACCCAAGGAACCAAACAAACAAATAACCCAATATAATACACAATTGTCCACATTAAAACCACAGTGCCTGGCCTCCACAGAGCAAAACAAAATGTTATGAATGGCACAGGGTCTAAATACGGCATCCATGTAAGAGAATGGAGGTGGACGGATGGTGAATGGTACTTAAAACCTTTCAGCCCTCACACCGTGCTGTGTTGTGTAGGAGGAGGAGAACAGATTTAGAAGCAGAAACACTCTGGAGATGAACAGAATTAAATGCGGAGGGGAGAATCACATGGAGAGAAGAGGATGAGTCAGACACAGTGAGCCAGACGTTCACACTAGAAATCCCACGCTCATTGTTTATGATCAATTTTCCATCTGTTACACTGACCGATTCATGGATTTAGGAAATTAAAGCCCATTTTTTTTTGGTTGGCCCTGGTTGTGTAAAAAAAACACATCTTGTCTTCTCGGTGTTGTCGAGCTGGAATCCAACTGATTCAGCGATAATGAGGAGCCTACCCATACCGGGCTTAATTCATCAGTCAAAACAAGTGGCATTGCGTTTTTGACATACAGCATCTATTCTGGGGAATAAACCTTTCTCACGTCACAGCAAGAAGAGCAGATGAGTAACTAATGGTATTATCAATGGTTCTGTTGAGTGTCAGTAAACCAGCATGCACAATAGCAGGGCCCTGGCACACCTGAATGGAATGCAGCCATTACTAATCTATTTAATTACATCTGTGTTTGACAAGATAGGGATCCACATTCAGAGACGCATATTTTTATTTTACAATGGATATCTTTCTATCATTTTAGTTCGTACAGACAGCTAGACTCCGAGTAGATTCATATGTTGTCTGTCCATCTGTTGGCAATCCTAAACTTATTATTCATAAGTTTGAAACACCATTGGCCAAACATCAGGGAAACAGCAGATGTAGTTGGTAGAATTTTCAACTTAAAGGTCACCTATTGTGCAAAATCCACTTTTTCATGTCTTTTAGACATAAACATGTGTCAGGGGACACATGTTCCACATGTCTGTGTAAAGACATTCTGAAAGTTTCAGGAAAAAATATGAACCTGATCCATTTATATAAAAACCTGTCTGAAAATGAGCTGATCAGATTTTGGCCACTTTATGATGTCATAACGATTTTTTGGCTTGTGTAACCATTAGCCAATAACCAAACAAGGTAACCCCCCCCCCCCTAATTTTTTTCCAACTAAAAACAGAGTCAAATGAAATATGAATACAATTTTAACAGCGAACTATCCTATGTAAAAATTAGACATTATTTTTTAACAATCACTGCAATTTCCGTCTGATATACCCCATTCTGCAGACTTACAATACCTCGTTGTTACTGTACCTAAAAAGGTACAGAGGTTTAATAGACAGCCCTAAATATGATCATTTTCTGTGTTTCAGATTTTGCTACAGAACCCTGTTGCTACAATGTAACAATTTTTTAAACAATTTATTTATCATGTCTGCAGCTGCTAACTAGTAAAAGCTTTCCTACACCATTAATAATCTCTACACCAATTCAATAGAGCGGATAGAATACATTAAGTACATATTATACAGTGCTATACTGAAAGAATACAGTATGTCTGGCTCCAGATTGCTTTGACTTTGAAAAATCGCTATGGGGAAAATAACCGAAGCTAAATCTGTGTAATTTAATAAATATAGTCCGAATTCCAGATCCCACGAAATGCAAGCTGCACTTTGTGATTAGCTCGTTATAGACTCTGACAAAAGTACTGACTGACAAAACTCTGAAAACAACATTAAGTGTTTATTTTGTCTGTTTTAAGTTGTTATACTTGTAGAGAGAGTAGAGTATGCAGGAAAGTGGGAAGCTGAACACTCTGCAACTTAGACGGTTAGAAAATCAGGGCACAGGAGTGAACTTCAAAGAAGACGCCACACAACACATAACAAACTAGAATGGGGTCCACAGTTGGGTTTTCTGTGTTTTTTCATTAGCCAAGGATTCTCTTTGAGCAGACCAAACTTTACAAAACTAGAAAGGAAATCACTAATTGACCTGAGCTGATTGGATGGATGTGCTGTTGGAAATAATGATACACACCAAAACACAAAACTGGAACAGTGCCAAATGGTTGTGTAATGATAATGAACACTCATTTACTTTCCATAAACCAACTAACAGGACCCCAAAGGCTTATGTAATACGACTAAATCACCAACTTTTTTGAGTTATGGAGGGTAGGCAATTAAAATAGCACAGCAAAATTATTTTTTTATTAGCCTTAAAAAAAAATGTAGGCACATTTCTGCCGCATGAAATAATATCACAACTTAAAAAAACAGTTAAAAACATTTCCATTATAGATTTTTTTGTAATTACAAAAGAAAGCCATGGTGTTCAATGCATTTCTGGATAACAGAAAGTGACAAAGAAGATGTAATCAGGTTTTTTTCACTGCAGACACCGTGACTTGTCATATTAAGTTAAGAACAGGTGTCACTAATAACATAAGCTCTGTTATATTCACATGTCCCTGTAAGCCAGGGGTGTCCAAACTTTTTTCACCGAGGGCCACATACAGAAAAATATGAGAAGGGCTGGGCCACTCAAAAGAGGTGAGGTGTATTGCCTCATAAGCTATAAATCAGCAAAATCAATCAAATGCATTAACATGCATTTAAACTGTCCTTCGGCGCCACTCGATGACGTAGTATACTTGAAATAGTGGCTCTGCAGCAGGTTTACTCGACATTGAGAAACGGCCAGTATCACAATACCACGAACCAGGATTTCAACATGTGTGACTTTGTAACTACAGTATGCAATTTGTGTTTTCACAGTACCAGTTTATGCTGTTTTACTTATAGAAACACCACATTTGTGGAAATTCTTTGCTGAAATGTGACCTTGTCCTCAGACAACTAATTTCAACATTAAGTCTGGAGGCACTGACAAGAATGAACAGTGTTTACCAAGCAAGCAGTCCATTCTTAAATAGAGCTGGATGCTGTAGTACAATAATTAAGTATTTTATTAATATAATCTTGTTTGAACCCCACCAGTAGCATGTTCACACGGTGCAGAATGTCAGTCAGTTATTTACTATGCCCTCATATCTTAAAAGTATCCAGGGGTGGCAGGTTCTGCTAGGCAGCAGTTGTTTGCTAATGCATTAGAGAATGACCTGGATTAACCCTGCGGTTCAACACCCTGACCCTAAATAACGAAAGAATATCAACAAGAAACAGTGGTGAATTCTGCTTGAAGAATCGCATTTGTTTTTAACACGCTAAACAGGTTAATATATGGCATCCACTGCAATGTTTGTTGCAAATAATATTAGCTCAGCTGCTTTCTGAGTGGCCCCTTTAACCAGGGAAAAGATGACCCAGCTGCTGTTTAATTGTGTAATACATTTCCAAAAAAACCATATTAAAACCCAGAATAAACCTTTTATAGACATCATTACAACATTGCAAGCAACAACTTTTTTGAGTCTGAATCATGTTTCAGACTCACCTGGTACAGCTTGATGATGTGTGGGTGGTCCAGCATCTTCATAATCTGAACTTCCCTGTAGATTTTCTCCAGGTTGACAGCATCCAGTTGGGTCTTGTCGATGATCTTGATGGCCACCTGCAAAATGATCAAGAATCGACGACACAAGCTTTATCAGTCAGTTTCTCAATAACATACTCTAGATAGAAACACTACCAACACTCACACAAACGCTATTACAGAAAGCAATTTAATATTATCCAAGAAGCAAAAAGACAGTGTGTTCTTTCTAGAGTTCTGAGTCACAACATAAATACTTAAATACAGCCCATGCGGAAACCTTCATAAACACTTAAAATGTGCGCCAAGATGAAATATCACATGAAGGTAAAGCAAAGGCAAACACAGGCCTTGTTGAATATACACACACACATATAAACACACAATGACACATGTAAATCGCAAACTCACAACTTCAACACTCTTGGCTTTGATTAATGATGTCCGGTGGGTAACAAGGCAATATTAACATCTCTCCTTCAGACTGTCTCATAAACAACATTTCATCAGTGTGATCTGAAGTGTTTCCAAGCGTCTGTGAGCCAAGCTGCAGGAGTAAACAACAGGAGACCCCAGTTCCCCTCTCAGCTATCGCACCACACAGCTAGATGTACTCAAACAAAACTCTTACTGAGCTGGAACAATCGTTATATATATATATCGATCATTTGACCTACATAAAAGGAATCTGAAACTATATTTATGATTGATAGTTTTATTTCTCTTTTATGATAGGAAAGATATACTTTATTCTACCGATTTATCTGGTTGTTGCATAAAAAGGTATCAAAAGTATATTTGACTTTAGGACCATTGGTTGGAAAAAGCAACCTATTTAAATATGTCAACTTAGGTTTTATGGAAGATATGAAAGTGTTCCCTACCCAAACATTTATCAATTAAGAAACTACACTAATCAAAGATCTAGAAAGGCGGTTCTGAGCAATAGATCCAGTATTTTAAAGGTTTATCCAATGCAAAAATGGCACATAACCTATAAACCTGTTGGTGACACAAGATTTTCCAGTGAAAACTAGTGACCTTAATTTCAAACTTTTCGATGCTAGATATCATTGTATTTTTGGCTTTGTCGATGCAACTGTATTATTCAAATGGTCTAAACACTGTCTTATATTTGGATTTAATTTTGAGGTGTACACCGCCCTACTTGCGCCATGTTAAATCCTTTTAAACATTATGAAGTTAGCACTTACACATTTGAAGTTAGCACTAACAGATTTGAAGTAATGGGTATTTCGATATGTTAAACACCCTTCATTATAATCTCCTTACCCACGGTACAGACCGGTATGACATTTGGCATCAAATCCTATGAGGAAATTCTTAAATTGTTTAATGGCACTCCAGCAGCAAGTGGAGACCTCAAGGGCATAACATTTAAATCGCTAACCTAGTACAAGGATTACAGGCTACTTAGCATGAAAAGATCTGAGACAAGCAACTGATTACATTGTCAACAATACTAACCCAAACACAGACACACACATACAAACACCGTATTGCGTACTCTGCTGGCACAAGGTCATTTAAGGACAATGAGCTAGAGGAATTTATCTCATACATTTAGTAATGAGAGCAAAAATGCAGGGCAACGCTGTGCTCAGAGATGGATACATGTAATAAATGTCCGTCCCACTGACCTGACAGGCAGGACCACATGGGAATGGGCCAGCACTATGTGAACCCAAGAGTATGTAAATAATAAAATCAATGGGTATAATAGCAGGAGCCATCAGTAGAAGAAGTAGGACACACACACACACACACACACACACACACACACACACACACACACACACACACACACACACACACACAAGAAAGTAATGGTACTCATTGGTACTGGTGAAGAAAGACCTCTCTGTATGAAGCTGAAATAAAACTAGTCTGACAAATCCAAACCCTGAACATTCTGCATCATGTCCACACTAACTGCAGACCCAGGAGCACTGTTGCAGGAGCATGTTGGTCTCTGTCTGCATGCATGCGTGCAAAAACACTTTGCTTTCCAATTACAGAGCTCTGGCTGACATACCCTGCTCCTCACAAAGCTCTTGGCAATGATGGGGCACAAGAAACCACTAAATCACATCATTATTTGGATTAGATAATGGGACCACCGACCCATGCTGCATGCCCCAGATACAGCCATGTTTACAGCAGCTAGACTGTTGAGATGGTACACGGTGGCACTGTCTGGGTCATTACCAACAGGAGTGCAGGTGCATGATGCTGGTGTGGTGGAGCAAAGACAGCACGCATGTTTACAGTTTGTGTTTCCGAGCAGCACTGGTGGTCAGACCTCTTACTGGCAGTGATGTGGTCTGAGGGGGTGACCGTGCAGGGAGTCGTTGCTCCTGTACCTGCAGGTATTAAAACACACCAGCTGTTGCTGGCACTAAGCCGCCAAGTGACCGGTAGTTACTTGATCCAAGTTTATATTAGTGCCTGATGTGGACAGCATGTCGGTATCTGCTATGAATATCTGGAGTGTCAACTAGTGCATAAAAAGTTATGTAACTCATTCGAACAGTAGCCTAAGTTAGCTTTCGGGCTAACTAGTTTACAGACACACTCACCTCTGTCTTGGTTATGCGGTGTCGAGCCAGCTTCACGACAGCGAAATTGCCCTTTCCTAAAGTGCGCTCGATGTCGTAAAAGCCCACTCGGACCGGACCCCGGGTCAGCGGTTTTTGGACAGTGTCAGCCATGACCATGCTGTTCTGGATGAGACTGTTTGTGAGTAGGAGGCAGCCAGACGAGCAGGGGACACACTGGGGGCTCACAGCTACAGATAAAGACGAAAGGAAAACAAACCGCCCGCCGCCGCCACCACCGCTGTTCGAAGCGTGTCCATTAAAAATAGACAAAGTTGATTTCTGTGTTGCCCTGCCAGCTTGATCGCCAGTGTGGCGATACTATCTCGTCAGTGCAGCGATACGAAGCAGGCCATTTGCTGAACCCGGGGGCTGTCACACCATGTTCTCCAATACAATAGAGCTATAATATTTCAGCTCGAGGTGCCTCTATCAGCCACAGAGCACACGAGTTGACTTGCAAAGAGGCATCATGTTCTCTGGTTGACGTGTATTGACGTCAGAGCCATAGGGGTATTTGTACAGGGGGCGGGGCCACCGGGCCGCTCCACACTTCAGTGCCAATTGGTTGCCAAGACAACCAGACCCACCTCTTACGTCAACCGGTAAAATTGCTATTCTGAAATCTGTTTGCTTGCCTGCCCTGCTTGATTGCACGCTTAGGTAACTTTTAAGTTTCGTGCTGCAGGTGTTTGATAGGCTTTGAGTCGGCAGAGACTCAAAGAAAACATGATTTTATTATTAAATCTTAATAGAATGAATTCTAAATCCGCCTGGACCTGCACCTTTACTTGTTAATAGTAAGGCATCTGCAAGAATCAATGAAGAAAATAGCCTAAAATAATATGAATAGAATTAATATTAAGATAGAAAAAAGTAAATTTAACATGATTTCTAAATCTAGTCATATAATCCAGATACATTGAAATTGCTATTACGAATCTCTTTACTATAATATAAAACATTGTATAATGAAACATGGCAGGAGCTTATGTGATACTAGACATTTCATCAGCCACAAACACAATTTGGTCAGCTGCGTGTATAACAGCGCCATCTGTTGGCAAAAATAGCAAATTGCAGCAAGGCTACTAATACTGTTCAGAGGTGGTATTTCTGCTTTAAATGTTTATTCACACACATCTAACGTGACACAGACACTCCCCAACACATGTATACAGGTACAAACACATTTGAACATATTAATATAATAATTTAAAAAGTAATGAAACCACAACATATTGCAAACAAACTTTTATTTGACACCCGAAGATCATGTCATGTTAGAAATGAAGCACGCATTCACACCCTGCAGTGGTTTGCTTCAGCTCATGCAGTGACAGACCAACACAGAGCAGAGGATTACTAAGCGGGCAGGCAGAGCATACACAGCAGCATACACTTCCTGAATGTAAGAGTTCCAGATGTGCTTTTGGCATTTCCTGTCTAAGATTCTCCAAGAACACAGTCAGCCTCTCCTTACTGGGCTTGCTTTATCTTTCCAAAACACATACCCAGCAGCCCACTCACAAAGAACACAGGCATTTGTGTTCAGATGTATGTCCATGATTATTTGAAGATAAAAGAAAGGCATATGCTTTTACACGCTAACACTGATGAATGACTACATTAAATACTCAGATGATGGTTTAGTTTCCCACACGGTCAGGTGGAGTCGGGAAAAGCCCGCAGCTTTGAGGTTGACTGGGGTCAGCAAAGTTCAGTCATCAGTGTTTCCACATACGTTGTCCTGTTCCCTGACATCAGAGTCCAAACAGGAAGCCTTACACTGGGCTGACACCACTCTTTAGTTTTAGAGAAAGGGTCAGAACAGCCCATAAATAGAACAACTCCACGGCCATATAGTAAGACAAAAGGATATTTTTTCCCTTGTGTTTCATAATATCTGACGTCAGTGCAAAAAGGTTGAGTAGTTTAATTTTGGATTGTTTAGAGATGAGTAATCTTGTGTGAGTCCTCAAAACTTGCACTTATTCCTAGGGTTAGTAAAAAAATCCATGCCAAATATATCAGCACTGCTGCTCAGCAAACCTGACCTGAATCAGTATGGCTTAATTGAGTTCATTAATGCCTCTTTGAAGCGAAAGCCTTCGTGCTGCTGACATCTTTTGTTGGAGAATTTGTCCAGATTATGTATGTTAATCTTATAGCGCCACCATAAGGGTGATATGTGTTTTTCTAAGAAAAGTGTCTCAACATCTATTAAATTGAATACAAACATTTCATCTAAGAATTCCTTTAGTTTGTTACCAATTATCTGCAAGACTAATCTGACATGCCCATTAGCCTCAGGTGTTCTCTGCAGTGCACCTGTGAAACATAAACATTTGATCAATAGCCTTTGTTAGCACGTGACAGTGGACAAGGACAGTGTCACAGGGCTGCTAACATTTCTGCTGAAGCTTTGTCTAGTTTAATAATAAAACGTATTGGGAATAGACTAGCATTTAATGTAACCCGTGTATTAAACTTTATTCCAACCGTATGCCATGCTCATATTCACAATTTCACAATTAGCCTTACAATTGGCAAATCTTTGGGATGCCCCGCTTCAAGAATTTATCTGACTTGCAGATTTGAATGCTGGCTGCTTTAGAATGCAAAAACTGGAGATACATGCACACTGGTGAAAAGTTTTTGGAACATAAGTTCAGGCCGACACAGCCACGTGTTTAGTTATCCTGCACCACACCAGCATGTGGTGTACAGGAATGAAGGGATGGAGAGCAGGGTGTTCCTGTGTCTAGCTGGGTAGATAGTGGGTATAAGATTGATGGACACTAACATAGACCACATTTTTTTATCCGTAAATCTCATTTTCAACCCAACCAGCATGCCGGCTCTGACCTCTGCAGGTCTCATAGATGTCATTGTTCACAAAGCCACTCTCCTTTACCACGCATGACACATTCTCATAATCGTCACACTGGGATTCCTGGGAAGGAGCACAAGGATACTTTTTCATGATGTCTACCGGCATGCTGCTGTCCAGAGCAGTGTGGTGCAGTTTGGTAATGTCACTGAAGGCGTAAGGTCCTTGTACGGCATAAGGTGAAGCTGTTGTTGTCTTCCACGGTTTGGATCGGCTGGGGTAGCTATCGGTTTTTGTGTTCCTCCTGAATATAACAAATAAATACATTAAAATAGGATCAATGCATTGTGCTGCTCATCCTAGAAATTCCTACTGTACAGGCCACTGAAAGGGAGCAAACACATTATGCTATACGTTTTCAAAAGCATACTTTTCCCAGACCAAAGGCACCATAAGTGTACTTTATAAGTTATACTGTATATAACCTGAAATCAATTTTGCTTACATTGAAGAGGTTGAAGAGCTGTACTGATGTGACCTATTAAATAATCAATAATGCATATCACACAACTATATTAATGACTTAATTAATGCAGAACAAAGGCCATTTAGCCTTTTTAAAAAGCTTCTTAATATGTCATTGTAATCTCTGATCTGGAAACATCTCGTTTCATATTTGAAGTACAACAGATAAGTACATGGTATTGTTTTTTTTTGTAGAACAGCTTTTACTTTTCTACTTTTACCTCTTGGCATGCTTTCTGTAGCAGAAGAACCCAGCAGCTGCAAACAGCAGCAGCAGGAGAGCAGGAATAGTTGCATACAAGATGTAGGAGACATACGGGGTGTTCTCTGAGAAAGATACTGCAAAGGAAAGAGGAATACTTCTTAGTAGAGCACAACTTTTTTTTAGGATGGCTTTATAACAAAGACTTGTATCCTTCAATAGTTAGGGCATGTCAGAGGGCATGTCTTCCCCTAAAAACATAAAGAGCTTCCACTCTAGTGAAAGGATCAACAATAAAATATAATTTATTCTATGTTTTAGATTTGTTTCTTACCTGATGACTCTGGTAGTCCTATTTTTATCTTCTCATCTCTTTCTGCAGTTGAGGAAACGTTTGGCCTTAGAGATGGAACTAGAACAATCAGAAAACAAATCACCATCATCAGTTTATATTTTTTTGCAAATGTATACTCTTGATTTCTTCCAAAAGAAACAATCAAAGCAGGAGTCAGTATGAGCGTAAATGTTAAAAGCCTCATGTATAACAAATTCTATGTATTGTACCTAATTGTTAGAATGCTCCCATTGAAATGTCCTTGTTAGTAGTTCATTTGATCACATGCATCCTTTTGCACATTAGTCTAAAGTAGTAGTTTGAAGTAGATATTGTTGGTAGTTTGACGTTTTTTCAGAATGTATGTGAATACATACACTGATAATTCACTTTTTTCCTGATTAGCATCTTTCTTCAATGGAAACGTAAAGATATACATGCTACAAAACTGAATACAATTATTAAAAATGATAATTTTTATGTCAACCTTAAAACATTGAAAAACAGTGCTCTGAATATATTTGGGCGTCAGATGCCTAATTCTGTAGTTAGAAGGGACATCTTGTGGGGCTGTTACAATTCATAGTCAGTAGCTTTTAATCATTTGTTAAGTGCATGAGTCTTAACATTTAAATAAGTAAAAAACTAGCGACATCATGTGATGCTGAATCCCCAAACACCTGCAAATGATGTTCAATTTTCCCACCAACATCACGTGCTTGCTGGTGAGTGAGCTGCAAGTCTGTTGTATCGTTATAACGTCACATCATAAATATAACTGCTTTAGGCTTTCTTTACGGATGGATTCTGGTATTCCAAAACCCAGTTACTTAAATCACTACTTTTAAAGGAATAAGATGATCAGTATAAGTTGTGTATTTCCTCTTCAAACAATGCAAATCTCGTTCAGCCACTGCATCAAACTTCAAAGACAAAAAACACTGTTCTCTTCGTTAAAAAACAAGATGACGAAAGGATCTTAACTTGGAAATTAAAATTGGAATGTTGGCCATGAGGAGTTTTGCAATTAGGACCGCGCATTTTCAGTATTGTGATCTATGTATTGTCGGTTTGTTCAAACGGTCGTAGACTGATGATATGTGTATGTCATCTTAATGGCCTACTATGTTTGTATATGTACATGTATGCGGGAACTGCAGGACGGGGAGGGTCCAGGAAGAAATGTCCTTACTGGGTGGACAATAAAGTAGTATCGTACATCATACATGTACTTGGTGATGAAGTGGACCTACAGATTATAGGGTAAACAACCCCAAACCCTCAACATACATTTCGACCATCATGATGTGAGGTCTTCATTTACTCACAAGGAAGGGAAAGGGATGAGTTTGCAATTTAAAGTGGATAACAAAATAGTGATCGTATGGTTTTAGTCTTTTTTTAATCTAAGACATAAACACATAAGGTCCCTTGTTTACTTTAGCAACAGCTCAAAATCATCATTGGCATTTACC